TATACACACACACACACACACATATATACACATATACCTAAAATACATGCACATGTACCCATAGAGCTTTCTGTTGAAAACATTCAAATGAAACCTTAACTTTGGTTTTTAACTATGGAGTGTGAAACGAGTTTTTGAGAGCAGCGAGAATGAGTTTCACTGGCCAAAAGGATTTAGTATTACATTATTCAGCCATCACACTAATGTGGGCTTCTCAGGCAGATGAAAGATTATAGGTTGTGCTCATAATGAGGATGAGACCACGTACCTAATGTTCGAGAACCGCCATTAGGAAATGCAAGTATATCACCGCTCAGTTCTGCTGAGATATTTCCCCTTGTAACTTCCCTTTTAAAAAACTTAGTGTAAAAGGAACTTTATTTAAAAAGTTTAGGATTCCTTCCTCAGCCCATCATTTATCCCAAGTCATCCCAGCATCTGCTCCCAAAGTGTGTGTAAGAGGTGCTGACGTTTAGTTAACACTTCTTTGGGGTCAGTACAATACTGGATGGATGCCATAGGTCAGTGCACTTAAAGTCTGAAGGAGGTTTTAATGATGAAAATACAGGGTTTTGGTATCTGTAAAAAAGTGGGTGTTGCTTTTAGTTAATAGTGATACCATTCATATCTTCTCACAAAGTTCCTTGGGAATGCTCTCAGTGAAAGCTTGCTATGTATCATAGGTCACCATATTGTAAAAACATTTAAAAATTGTATATTCTGTTTTGGATTGTGCTTGATATGCTTATTTTAATTTGATTGACTGCAAGGAGATAGCCCAGGTATAAACAGAGAATGGACAGAGCTTTCTTCGTATCGGCAGAGGAATGGATTTCCATGCATATTGTCAGTCAGTGATGCCACGCACAGTTGTATCCTTGATACTGGAGGCAGTGATGATTTTTACATTTCATAAAAATATTACTTTTGGCTGTGGCTTGTGAGATTCTGAGCGGCTTCATATTGATGTCCTATGAGGCAAACATAAGAAATGATGCCTGTATTGGAATAGTCATATTTTATCCCTTAATTTACCTTGGAGTTCCTGAGCTTCTGTATTAGTTATCTTCCTTGGCCTTGGCACTGCTTTTTTCCCCTTCGCTTTGGAAAGATTTAATTTTTTCTTATGGTCCTTTTGGTGCTCTCCTTCTGTAAATTTCTCTATGGTATGACTCTAATGTTGTTCCTTCAGTTGAAGTCAGAATTGATATGTTACTTTTTATAAGGAATCAGAGGAAGAAAAAGGATCAAACTCACTTTGGAGAAGAGCATTCCCAAAGAGCTTGTAATTTTTTTAAAACCAATCTGAATGTACAATGCTCTTCTCCCATCCTAAGCCGATGTCCATTTCATTTTCTCTTTGAAATATAAGTTGAGAATGTAGACCCTTTAATAAATCTTTGCAGGAGCCCTCTTCCTAACCCATCTCTGTTTCTGTCTTTCAATACCACTGTCAGCGTTACAGTCTACTGATTTAAACCAAAGGCACGATTGCCACTGCCAGGAGCCACACTAATACAATAATGTGATCAAGGCATTACCTTCATTTTCCCAAATGACCAGCTGAATGAGAGAAGCTTCTTAGAGAACACATTAAACAAGTGTGTTTTAAAGCTTTGGAGATAATCTGCAGTCATAGCAGGACTCTTCAAAAAGAAGAAGCCACAAGGAAGAAAGAGGACCTCAAAATCATTGATATACTCATTGAGGGCACAGTGAAATGGCATTTTACAGCCTTCTGATGTGGCTGTTCTGGTAGAAATTGAGTCCAAGCCACACCCGTGTAGCTAAAGGGGAAGTCTACCCCCAAAGAAGGAGATACTTCTGATGTCATTCCTGGGAAGAGGCAGGTTCTGATGTAGAAAATAGGGATTTGGAAGTGAAGTCTCAAACAGGAGAGAGAAGTAGTAGAGTATTCTTTCTTTTCTAAGAATAATCCTTCCCTGGATTCTAAGGATTTACGATATGTTCAAGAATAAACTCTGGTGGTCAGGGAAAGTTGGTCTCTGCCAAGTAGAGGTGGCTGTCAGCAGGACTTCTGGAAAGTGGGCTGGACTGACTGGGCACCCAGGAGAAGCACCATCTTGTTATCAGATCAATGAGATTTATTTGCCACTCTGGAATTGTTCCTGTTAGCCTGAATCATTAGTAAAGTCTTTTTAAATGTAAAAGCTTATCCAACTATGCCATTAAGACTTAAGGAAAGGGTCAGTTCATGCTCAGGAAGGTGGATCCTAGAAGTAACAGTCTTGTCGCTAGACAAGAGTAGGGCTTATCATATTTAGCTGTTTCTTGCCATCTGTAGATTTTCTCCTAATTGCCAACCTTGGATTATAGGAGTTTGGCTCTGTCCAAGGTAGCAATAGGTTTCTTATAATAACTCCAGAGAAAATTAGAAACTCTTAGTACTAAAAGTGAAGTAGATTAAATGCCAGTTTGTACCATCTGAGCTCCTTCTCAATACAGTCTAAGAGGACTCTTTCTTCTCTCTGTGATAAATTAGGACTCAACTTTATCAGCGCCTCTCAATTATTTATATTTCATTCTCTCTTCTAGTTCTTTAATTTCTTGTTAGGATAGGTGATGCATTAGGTTCGTGCATCATAGATAGAGGTTAGTCTAATTAAGATAATTAAATTTGTTCTTTTATCTTTAAGTTTTATTCAGGGACTTAATCTTCTATCTTATCTCTGCTCTCTCCTTTTTCTATTTGTATTGGAAAACACTGAACCAAAGATAAAATAAAGATGCATTTTATAGTTCACTAAATTTTTGCCTCATTTTTATTTTTTGTCTTCTGATATCCAAAAAGCAATAGAGAGAGATCAATCTTGGTTCCATTAATAATTACAAATAGTTTAACATTTTGCAATAGTGAGCTAGAACTGGCTGGCCTATAGGATCTACTGATAAATATTCAAGAATTTCACAAGCTGCTTGTTAAACTATTAATGACTTGAAATTGGCCATGGGAGGAGTATTTACATCACCATGGAAATTGGAAATTGCTATAAATCAGAGGTCTTTCTCCTCCTCTTTTTTTACAGAGAGCTGGTTTATCAACATATCACCAAATTTGGTTGTCAGCATCATAAATGTGGTATAATAATGACTTTATGATGTTTTAAAGTGGACTGATTTTCAAGAGTAGGTGACAGAGTGGGCAGAGTTTTGGGTGACAAGTGGTCAAGTCCTGATTCTTTCAGTGACAAGCTATATGACTTTAGGGGGATCAACTAATCTCATGTTGCCTTGGTTTCCTTAAGTATAAAATACATGATTTAACTTGATGAGTTTCAGTTAAACCCTGAAGTTTTATCAACAGTCAAAATACTTTCCATTAAAATAGAGATAGATGAATAACTGAACTGCCTTGGATGGAAAGGTTATTAAGAAGTTTGTAGAGTGAGAAAAATTGACACTTCACATTATGAAAAGAGGAAAAGAAATGGCATCAAATGAGATAGTTACTGCAAAAAGAGTCCATTGAAACAAGAACATATGGAGGATAATGTCTGCCATATTCAAATTAGTGCCAGATTTTTGTGGTTTGTTGGATGCTTTTTCATTGACTTAGAAGGAAAAAGAATGCAGCTGTGAAAACTCCCCTCTTCACCTTGGCTGAGGAACTCTCCAAGAGAGCAGATGGTTCTGAGTTTCAAGCCATGAATCATTGTCAAGGGATCTCCTCAAGCTGCCGTGAGCAAGAAGTGCTAACGGACGAGCCTCAATGGGTAATATTTTTATTACTGTTGGTGTCAGTCACATCCATACCGTTACTACTGGAATCAGGCTTACTGTTAATAAAACTACAATTTGGAAACAAAACAGCAATAGTCAGCAAATTGTTTCTATTGAATGTCTAATGGATGTTTTAAGACCTTAGCATTCCTCTCTTTAATGCTCATCAATGAAGTAAGTAAGAGAGGAGCTTACTCTAGTCTTTCTCTATTTATTTATTTTTGTCCGATTTCAAAGCAAATGTGTGAATAAATGTTTTATATATTTTGGTATTTTAACTTGCTAATTTTTGAAAGCTGTTATCACTAATGTTATTTTGTTGGTTGTCGTATATGATCTAAATTTGTTATTTTCTTATAATGTGGGTAAATAAGTGAGAGTTTGGTTTTAGTTTTGATTTGGATAATAATGTATTTAATTCTAATGCTGTGGTTCATGATAGGTACGGATGCTCTTTGGAGGAATCATGGTGAATTAATTTGAACCTATTAAGAAATCTTGGATCAGTGGACTCTTCATGTAAGGTAGAACCAGATCAAATTGGTTCTTTCTGTTAAAACTCTAATATGCTTTTGTTGTGTTTATTAGACTTTATTTCAGTTACTTTACTTACCTTGGCCAAAGTCACTTTTAGTAGCTTTAGCTGAAATTTTACCTAGAATATCTTGGCTATTTTTCATGGAATGTAATGATTGGAATGTGCTTCAGTGATCATTTTTAACACGTTCAATTGCAGAATATCTTGGACCATTAGGTTTCAAAAGCAGAAATCTAATAGAGGACAAAGTGGTCCAAAGTAAAGGTTTTTTCCACAGTGTGGAAAAGTCAACATTTGATGGATTCTAGGTGTCCGTGAGAGAAGAGAGAAGGGCGGTTTGAGAAAGCATATCCACTTTTTACTGCAGAATTTAGTCTAGAAATAGTTTCATGGCGAACGCTTTGAAGAGCATTACTTTTCTGATATGAAGGGCGGGTGGTCAAGTGCAGAGAGCAGAGGATTTGAGTCAGGGAGACCTGCTCCATCCTCTTAAACTATGTGACCAGTTTAAAATGGCTCTGAGGTACTTTCCTCAACTATAAAATGGGGAGAATAACATGTACCTCAGTAGGTTGCAGTGTGATTGTGAGAAAGCAAGGCCAGTTGCTAGAGTCCTTAGATTTTACCTGGCATGTGGTGGTCAGTCACCAATAGTAGCTATCATTAGTGTTTTCTCATCGTACTGTTGGCTAACTCAGTGCTTGTCATTTTAATGTGTATGAAATGTTTCAGAGGAAAAATACTATAACTGATAAACATATGAAAGATGAAAGCAAAGCAAAAAAAAAAAAAAGTTTCATCAGTGCTTAGAAAACAGATTTCTTAACCTGGCTCTGTCACTGTTGACATTTATGACCCTGAAAAACTTCACTTGTTCTTTCCATATCTCAGTGTTGGGTGTAAAATAAGGAGCTGAAATTACATTAACCATCAGAACAGTGCTCTGAAGAATACCGGTGTTGATTTTTTATTCTTAGGATAAAAGAGTTCCATGTTAAATTTAGGGGAAACAACTTCCGGACACTTTAGAATTTTGTTGGAAATTTACCTTGCTAATTAGCATATTAAAATATGGTTTAATATGATTTTGATAAATAAAATGTTGAACTTGATATAACCCCATTTCCCAAACATTCGACAAGAGCAATCTTTATTCATGGAAAAATCCATCTTGCTGAACTTTTTCATGTAACTCAGTTGGGAAATGCTATACAGAGTGTGCCCTATATTCCCTTATAATTCTAATTTTCTGTGACTGTCACTAAGTAGTTGAATGAATATGGTAGGTGATGGTTTAGATGGGGCGTGACTTTTAAAATTTATTTTATATGGAAAGAATAATTTCTTTTTGGACCATTAGAGGGACACATTTGTGAATTAAGGCTAGGTTTATGAGTGAAATTATAACAGTTTTTACATAAATGACATAGGCTTACAAACGCATATGTTATAATTATCAATTACTGTTTTAATTTTTCTTCATCTGTGAAATAAATATATCTCAAAAACATTTGCCATTTGATTGCACATTATTAACTCTTGTAAACATTATCATTTCTAAAAACACTTGTCAACCTTAAAGTCCTCACCATAACATAGTATAGATGTATGCAAAACATGGAATGTACACATTACTGCTGGAGGGTTTAAATTTACTCACTGAGATAGCACAATTGCTTTTCTTTAATTTATACCACATGTTTTTTCTTTATTTAGCTTTTAATTCTGTAAAGAGTATGGGGATATAAATTATATGAAGGATGTGAAACATAAGCCACTCCAATCATGGCTATATGGCATCCTCAATTTGCTAGAATAATTTTCATTTGTCAGTTTTTCAGATAACTTTAGGAATCTCTCATTGGGCCTGTGCGTCTAGTGCACGTGTGAAAGAATTTTTATGCGGTCTCTTCCTACTTCTAGAATGAGAATCCTTCTGTGAGGAAGGTAAGAGCTATAAGATAGGCACGTGTTTCCTGCAGGTTTTGTGGCTCTTGGTGATTCAAAGCTTGGCGTAGCAATTATTCCTTCATGATCATACAGTTTATCTGAGGGAGTCATAAATCTTGTCAAGTTGGAGGCCACATTTATATGTATAATAGTGGCTACCCTTCCCCACACATACTAATGTTCTTGGTACAATAGGTAAAGGGAAGTGAACAGTTGTGGAGTACGACTTACTGTGGCTTCTCTTTCGAATCTCCTACATATAATCTATTATTCATCTCTTTCAATTATTCCTCATAACAATTTCTCACATATTTCCCTGGGCTTAATTCTTGGCTCTGTCACATACTAGCTTGATCAGATTTTAACCTCCTTAGGTCAAATTTCCCCATCTATAAAGTACACACTCTGAAGATGTAAACATTATGGGAAGCGAGGTGTGATTAGTGAAAAAATATCAGTGAGATGATTTGTTCAAATGTGTGGAGTTTGGTACATAGGAAGTACTCAGGAAATGTTTGCTATCTTTATTATTTATATTGTTAATTTAGGTTTTCATTATATTTTGGCTCTTATCTGGTATATCTGACTCAAAATCTTTTCTTCCCCTGTTCAAATCCATCCTCCATAATTCTTCCAGAATGATCTTTTAAAATTGGAGATCAAACTATATAAGAAGTGCACCATTTAAAACCCTATAATGGTTCCCAATTTCCTGTAGGATGGCACTCACACCCTATAGCAGGACAAACTGAGCCCTCTAGGACCTCTTGTCCATCACCAAGCTCCAGCTAAACCACTTGCAGTTACATTTTTGTACTTCCATATCTTTGTACATGCTTTTCCCACTGTCTCGAATGTATAAGGAACTGTGTTCTACCTCTGCCCTTCACGCTGACACTCTGTTCTTCTCGATCCAGCTGCTGGCTCACTGAGCAGCATTCATTCTTCCACTGTGCCACAACCGTACTCCCATCGTGTAGACTTCTATCATAGTGCCTCCTATACTTCACTGCAATTATACGAGTTTCTCTCTCCTCGCCCCTCTCCCTCCCTCCCTCTCTCATGCTCTTTAAGGAAAGTCACTGGTTCTGGTTCGCCTTTCTGTCCCAATATCAGAGATGATCCTTGATGAATGTTTGTTGTTGAGTGATTGAATAAATGGGAGCTGTTACGGAACACAGTGGGCATTCCTTCCTAAATCCCTAAACAACATTAGTGCACTAAAGCAACGTACACTTGGCAAACAGTAGGTACTCAGTAAATAACTAATGAATTAACTAAATTATTTGTGAAGTAAAAGGAAATTGGAATCACTTAACCAAAAGTACCAGATGCGGTAATATTACTGAGTTAAACACAAGAGTTGGAACTAGAATGAAGTCACTTTCTACAATCATTTGAGTTATCCCATTTTCCCACATTTTCTCTGATTTTTTTAGATATCACAATTTAGGGGTCATAATTCACAATTGCTTAAATATATGAGGTGTACTTGCCATTCTTTGAAAAGGTTAGTGCTATCATAAGATGTGTAAATCTTCTTTTATGAAAAAGATGACAAGCAAAATTATGGTCCAAGTCAAGATTTTATAAAACATTGACTTGGATATGCTTGCTTTTAAAGTAATTTTAGTTTAATTTCTCATTAGAGGTTCAATCCTTATTTATATATGATGATCAAGCCGATAATATTTTTGTGTCATTGATAAATAGACCAATGGAAATAAGGTCAAATATAGAATTTTCTTCCCTTTAGAATCACTGAATATTTTACATTCCACATTACTGTTTTATAGAATTTCAATGACTAGATAAATAGGATCCTAGGTTTTACATTTATGAAGATATTAATAAATGAGCAGAGATGTGCCTAAATTGCCTAGAGAAAAAAGATGTAAATGGAGATATATCTACAGGAAGTGTAGCAACAAGGTACCCTGCCCATTCCCAGTGCCTGAGGACTGGTGGTAAAAGGACGAAATCAGCTTTGATCAAGTCTCAGCTTTGAGCCCGGTCTGAGTGGAACCAAAACTCAAGCTTAAAAGTTAAGAGGAAAAAAAAAAAGTCGGTTTATTTTGCCATAATTTTCCCAAATGGTTTGTATTTCCCAAAATTGAGCTCTGCAGTTTTATAGACCCAAGCTCTTTTTATCCCTATGCCACTCTTCCATATAATCTTTTGAGGCCCTTTAAACCTGAGACTATCTGTATCAGAATAGCCTATTATTATACAACACTCTGTGGAGCCAAGTGGAGCCTCCAGGCTTTCGTGGTTAATGTAAGAGCATTTTCCTGAAGCCCTGGGTGACAGGAACTGCTGATCTCAGCAAAGGTTGGCACAGGCAAAGCCAGAAAATTATGCAGAAGAATTTATGGAATCCATCATTATGTGTTTTACTACCTTTTCTTTTCATTTACAGAGAGTGGCACAGAATGCTTGAGTAACAGACAACAGGAATGACAAAAAACTAAGGTGAAGGAATAATTGGATGAGAGTATAGAGTGTCAGAAAAAGCTTGGACTTTAGAGTCAAATACACCTAGAGCAGGCTCATAAGAGTTGGCCAGAGTTACTAACTCTGTCCTCTCTCCTCTAAAGAATAAAGGTAAGATGCTATAACAGACATCACCGGGGCTTTGCCTAGATCTCCTGTATGCCCGTAGCCATGACTGATGGGTGCAGGAATGTAGATGCCAGCTTCCTTGTTCCCAGTGGGCATAAACCGAAGGTGTAACTTATCATCCAGAGTTCTCCTATGGGTCAGACTAAAGCAGCCTTCTAAGGGACTTCGCCTGAGAGCATGCTGTGGTCACGGATTTTTTCATATCTACATCCTGCTTTTTCTACTCCCTTACTGGTTTCTCAGAGCAGTTCCTTAATAAATCATTTGCATACGAATCCTCATTTCAGAGTCTGCTTCTGATCTAAAGAGATGTCTATTTTGAACGTTCCTGATATGGAGTAGAGATAATAGGTGTAGGATGCCTGTCAGGAGTTAGGTAGATAGTCAGACATGGGGAACACAGGGGAACAAAGG